TACTTTTCGTAGCCGTTGATTTCATTGTTTTTTGTTAGTGCATTAAGGACTTAAATCAAAAGTAGTCGGACTGATACGTCCGTTTTGGCATTGACCTTGTCTGTGTTAACAACCAAATACGTTGAGAGAGAGAGAGGGGGGGTAATTTTATTCCCGATAACATCTACTATTTTACAGATTGTACAGAAGTCCAGTGTGACCCAGCTGAGATAGGATCAAACCACTCCATCAGTTTTAGCAGCTCTGTTATTAGTGCTACTATAACTTGGTCTAGAGTTATTAGCCAAGCAGATATTCCCATATTTCAGTGCTACAAGAACGCATCATGTGTGGCTTTAATCGATAGGTTTACTGATTTATATATTGCACGAATGGAATATTTTAGCAGTGGTTATAAAAGTACCCTTTTAATCTACAACATCCGTCAATCCAGTGGTACAATCTTTAGATGCAACATCGACGCTCAACAATCTGTAGATGTCTGCAATCCTTTAGAGGTGTTTAGTAAGTATGATTTAATACAGATTTTCGTTTAGCTTTTGGTTGGAAACAAAATCGGTTCTATTAAAATTAAATTTTCATAATGTATAGTTTAGTCAAATGTTTTTATCGAAAAATGTTACGAAATAATTTTAAAATACAAATATTATCATCATTTGGAGGTTTGTTATTCTATAAAAATGAATAACTGAAGTTTTATTTTAAAAGATAAATTGTAATCGTTTTATAATTGTACGCTAACTTTAATATTTACTACGCTTCTTTATTTTAAAACAGTAGTAATATTTGCTTTAAAACTGTAAAGAAAATAAATACAAATTTTACAAATACCATATTATTGAATGTGAATGAAATTAACTATAATATGTTTCTTTTGATGGTAAATTAACACCAGTATACTTTTATAAAATCATAATAAAGTTGATGTTGATATAGTCAGAGAGATGATCATTCTAATTACAAAAGCTATTAGATTTTAAAATCATAGACGTTAAAAAACAATTTAGTTTTCGGTTTACCTCAAAAGTAAACGTTTGAAAAAGTTTTATACGGATATTAAAAATGTAAAAATTAGAGTACGCTTTATTATATTCTGTAAATTTGTTGTTGGTTTTTGCTGAGAGAAAAAATTTTACATATTTATTTACGTTCTTCAAACATTAAACATTCTTATAACATCATCTTATTTTTTTTTATTGTTTAGGTAAGCCAGAAGGGCTACAGTGCAATGATATATTAGAGATAAACGAGCAAAATATGATCTCGATAGTTTGTTATCTTAGCAAAGTATATCCATCAGCGGAAATGTTTTTGAATTCTTCAACTCTTGTAAGCTTACTTAATACATTCATACATTTAAATATCACTTCATGCTATAAGATGACTCCGGCTAAGTAATATCTAATGATTTTCAATAAAAAATATTTTCTGAGCAGGGTACAAAAGCAAAGTGTGTAAATGACACAAGTTCACCTTCTGTTATTGTTAGATGCCAGAGTGATATTCCAATTACAGGAATGAAAACGGGCGTAAACTTTATTGATATTCTCATTTATCCTGGTGTTACCAGGGGAGAAAATTTTGGTATCCAGAAACAACTAAACATTTCACTGTGTAAGTATATTTAATACAATTCATGGATGTTAACCACTACACACTACTCTGTGACACTAGAATATTGAGTTAGACATCTCACGCTTTAAAAAAACAAATATGAGTTCTGTCTAAAGTCAAGTGGCAATAGAACAGAATGTCATGTAACTTTTATGCTTGTCATATTTATCACATACATTACTGAAACAGTCATTGTATTAAATTAGTATTTTTGTATCAAAAGTGTAATTACTGTATTTTTTATCCAGTGTTTTTGCGGTTTGCATTTGTTGTCTCGGTTTTAATCAACTGGTTCCCATCCGTGCTATGTTTCATTATAAATAACCAATTACTTTAAGAAATGGTGAAAAAAACCACTTAAAAAATTAAACATACATTGTTAATTTATATAATTGGCTTACTATTGTAGGCATCCCTCTTCTGTGATAAACGTATATAAATAATAATAATAGTATAATTATTTTTCAAAATTCCAGCTTATCCCTCCATATCGTTTGGTTCGGACTGTCTGAATATTTTAACCACAACACAAGGCTACATCAAACAAGGAACATCAGCAAACTGTACTTGTTATGTCAAGACACAGGGGGTACCACCAGGTGGTGTCAAGTGGATCTACAGTAATTGGAGTGATGTTGGTATTGTTAGCAGTAGTGGGTCAGCTGTATTACAGGTTATGTTTTCAGGAAAAGGTAACGGATTGATTTTTAATTTATAATGTGTATATATTTATGAAATTATTTATTACATTTAAATATATACGATAATGTTTGATAGATTAATCTTCATTCTAAATTAGAATTATTAATTTAAACAATCGTAACAATAAACCTAATTCTGATTCTTCTTGGCCTACAACACTTATTATAATCTTAACCACCATGTTTTTTGTAAATATCCATTACATTAAGTTTTCAAGTCATAGATTATTAGATATATTATAACTTAATAATGTAATAAAATACCGTTTTTTATGATGGATAATATCAATGTTTTCAAAGTAGACTATGTCGTAGACAGATAGATATCTACATAAAGCTACCATACTTATTTAAATGGCTGTTACATAACAATACATTCAGAACTAAGCCGGAACTACATGTGTGTTGGGGTTTCTGTCCTTGGAACAGATTTGAACGGATCAGAATTAAGTTTTAAAAATGCATGTAAGTAATTTCATTAAGAAAATAGAAAAGAAAATCTTACTGTACGTTGCTTTTGTTTTAATACATGTGATCTAGTTTCATGATTGAAAGGTATTAAGGTATTCCTTTAGACTCCCCTTATATAATTTAAAGAAACAGATCAAAACCTTGTAATAACTTACTATTTAAGCGGATATCGTTATGTTTTCTCTTTAGATAAAATACTTCCCACTAGTTATTTTTTCTTTATTATATCACTTTCATTCAATGTGACTCAGAAGTAATGCTCAATATCATTACGTTTATTGAATATAACATAATAAAGTAACGTATAACCTAAAAATAGCATTTTATAATACACAATAACTAAATGAATACACTTATATATCAAGCATTGAACCAATTTTAATAAAAAATACGTTTTATTTAAAAATATAACACGTATGAGGCTACCGGAGTCTGCAGAAGTTTCGTTTTTCTCGCTAGTAAAACGTGTGAAATCGGTTGTTTATCCCCATGGTCTTCAGTGTTTCTTCCAGGCATTTTTCCTCCAGTTGGGGGGGGGGGGGCACATGATATTTTCGGGGGGGGGGGGCGGTCTACGTTTTCCGGGTGGGGGGGAGGCGGACACTAGTAAAGTATATGTTTACTATATACATTCCATGTCGTGGAATGACCTCCCGAAGAGATGCCTGGAAGAAACTCTGGTGGTCTTCAATTAAATTCACGCTTATGTGTTATATATAAGAGGTATTTCCTTTTTTGACTTAATAAATACATAAATAAATTACAATGGAATATATTTCAATGTTTATAATTTTAAAATATTTTTAGACGGTCCTGAACAGATGTCCTTGTTTACCAGAGACAGCACAGTTTTGTACACTAGCTGCTCACCCAACACAACAATCAACGTTATCTGTTCTGTACCAAGACAAAGTGTTGCTCCTGAGCCAATTGTAACAATAAGTGAATCAGATGGTGAAAATCTTGTAATAAATTCAAATCACAACTCTTCAGATTATGTTTACATAGCATCATATAGACCGAAATTTGATGGGGTTCTAACTTTTACGTGTGAAGCTTTCAACTCCATTTTTAAGGAAGTAAAGCAATCTAATACATTTACTGTGTATATTGCTGGTAAGCAACACTATGATAATTGATATGACTCCAAATACGGTTTTCTTTGTGTAAAATATTGTAATAATACTAATTTTACTTAAGCTAATAGGTAAACTATTGAATGAATGGATAACTATTGTTATTGATAGGATCTGTTGAAATGTATTTTTATGCTTCATCTCTATTTATTTTGTACTAAATATAATTATGATTTTTATATAAAACAGATAATTGTTATTAAATATCCTTCTCTTTTACACAGGACCACCACTAAAGCCACCATCTCTGTCTATTAGACAACGAAACTTTAGTGGCACCAATGTAAAGTCTCTAGAACCACAGAAAGAAGGATCTGATATAGAAATTACATGTCGAGTTTCTGGAGGTTTTCCTAACACTTACAACCTCACCGTATTATGTGATGGCATTTATACTAACTCATCGTCAAACAGCGATGTTGTAAGCTTGACAATAGAAAATGTTGGCAGACAACTAAATGGCAAACAGTGTCTTTGTAAAGCTGAACATGTCACATCTTGTTATGTGAATAATACATCAAGTGTTACACTTAACATTACATGTAAGTTATACTATAATTTTTGGGCTAACTCACCTGTTTTCTACATCAAATATATGCACTTGGAGATACGTAGTCCTTCACGCGTAAAAGCTCACAAATTCATACACATATTATGTATACACAAACTCAATAAACATCAACTACACATACAATTACCTGTACACTTGTTTGCACAAACGTACACACATAAATACACACACATACACACACACACGTATATATATATATATATATATATATATATATATATATATATATATATATATATATATATATATATACGTTTTATGATTTTTATGCATTTTATTATTTAAATTTATTATTTTTCATCTCAAAGATCCTGCTGCCATTCAACTATTTACAGCAAACTCTAAAAGCTCACTGATAGTTTCCGAAAACTCTGATGTAACGTTTTTCTGTATGGTAGAGAGCAATCCACCAGCTACAATTGAAATCACAAAGACAGAATTGATCACAACCAACACAGGCAAGGTGAACGTCACAAAACAAGTGATGTGTCAGGACAGTGGGGAATATCACTGCAAGGCACACAACTCTGAATTTACCCAGGACATTCGAAATTCAATTGCTTTATATGTCCAGTGTAAGGATTTAAATTTGTTCATGCTGTACATGAAATATTGCTACGTGTTTGTTGTAGATTACACATCAGTCTAGCGACAGTGAGTGTTTGTAAGGATACAAAAAATAATATGACTTGATATGTATGAAATGTATCATGGCTAACAAATAATGGCAATATTTTTTTCTCTTTTATAGAATGTAAAAAAATATTAAAATGAAACTATATTAACTAGCAATTAAGTCAGTTATACAAATAAACAGTCTATAGGTTAATATATTATTTGATTTTAGTGATACATTTATTAAATTACCTATAATTAACTAAGGAATAAGAAGGTATTATTTTAATGTAAGAGCAGCTGCAAAGTTAGAGTATATTCTGTTTTCTTAAGATGCTTACAAAAGATAAAATACTATTATTCAATTAACTTCTCGTCTTCTTGTCTTTGTCAGCAATGTACGTTTTTTTTTTCTTTTTATAAACGTATTTTTGTAATTTTCAGGCCCACTTCAGTTAAGAAATCTAACAGATGAAAACAAAATAATCCCTGCACATTTGCAAAATAATGTAATGATTTCAATTGAAATCGTTGGATACCCCGCTCCAACTTTGTTTACATTGTTTAAATCAATAGATGGCTCCACGGTTCTAGTGTTCAGTACTGCTTCGTTAAATATTCTCGATAAAAAATACCAAGTTGAATTAGAAAATTACAAACTACCCATTGGAAGCGTGAACATTACAGTCCTTAACTTAACAACAACTGATTTTACTAATTACTCAATTATAATCTATAACGGATTGGGAAATGAATTGACGTATAACTTTAAAATAAATGAAGGTAAGTTATATTTCTTTTTTTTAAAATAATTTTTCAATTTACATTCCAATATCCTCATACTATTTGATTCTACGGGAGTTTTTTTTATAGAAACCTATCTATATTCTGCATCATACATAAATGTATTATATAATATGTAATATGAATAAATAAAGGTATATATATATATATATATATATATATATATATATATATATATATATATATATATATATATATATATATATATATATATGTCATTATATCGAATACATAATATAATGCTAGAATTTTTTTTTCCAGACATAACTTCCTCTAAAACGAGCACATCGGTAGTACTTCCAGCTGCAATTGGTGCTGCTATTGCAGCTGTCGTCATCATTGCCATAATCGTCTTGATCTATATAAAACGTAAGTTTTACACAAGTAACGCTCAGAAACTATCACTATCTATATACATCTGAATAGTAATTCTACGATCTTCGTTATTATTATTCAATTAGCTATATTTGATATAAATGATCTCAATATATATATATATATATATATATATATATATATATATATATATATATATATATATATATAAGCGGTGGAAATCTATTTTACAGGTAATGAACTCAAGAATTTAAAGATCAACAGATGGTGAGATTAACTGTATAAAGAAGTATAGCACTTATATTTAAACGTAATTGTAAAACAGATTTTTTAATTGTACCATTTTTATAGTTTAATATTCTTTCAATTTTGACTTTAAAACACATAGGCCTATTTACAATCATTGACTTCCTTTTTTCGTTGCAGCCTAAGAAGGACAAATACACGTACAGATTATACTCATTTTATTCATTAATTAATTTAAGTATGATATCTGAAGCTATACATTTAACAGTGGCACATGCTGTTATTCTCAATTTTTACATAACATATTTTAAGCTACATATGTATCATTTAGTAACTATTTATTTCACTATATTAAACTTTTTTATAAAAATTACAAAAAAATTAAGACAAAATAATGCTTCATTCTAGCAACTTCAGTGTAATCCATATTGTAATAGTTAATGTTTATTTTAATACCCTCTTAAATTTTAAATTGTATAACATTTTCATCGTTGAACAGCGTTTATCTTTGTTATGAAAATTATATAAGACATCTATACTAAATGTTAATTTACAGACGAGAACGAAAATTATGAAAATACAGAGCCTACAAGTACATCTACACCAGATCCGCCTGCTGTTCGTGGTATGTTCAGAACAAATTTCACTTAATATTTGTCTCACATCCTCCTTCATTTAGTATACTAAGTTTAATGATGCTTTGATTATTTTACCAGGTTATGAAGAAATTGATTTGGTACAGAACTACGATAAGCTACAGCACACATATGATAATTTGGGTAAGGTTGGTTTTCTGTACGTTTGACTAATATAATTTGAACTGTAACGTAATTGTCTATATTAAAGAAACAATATTTCAGAGAATAACTTTAATTATTATTAACCTTAAAAATTAGAAGAAATACTTTGGTCAACACATTTTTTTTCCCTAACGTGGGTCAGGTCTTAATTAAGTAAAACTGGGTAAACACAGAATCGTCTTATATACTGGAGCCTGATATTTGCGTAGTGGCAGTCGTCAGCTAAATTACTCGACCAGTGTTTCTTCCAGAAGGAAGGGGGGGGGAGGACACTTGAAATTGTTTTGGGGGGGGCGGACTAAAATTTCCGGGTGGGCGGTACACTATTAAAAATATATTTTCTTTATAAATTCTAATTCTTTCGGGGGTAGGGGGGGGCGTAGATTTTCCTTGGGAGAAACCCAGTCCTCGACCCTAAATTCCATTAAATAGAATTTTAAATCAATAATACTCTTTAATTGTAGCAAAATTGGAGAAAGCTCTCATTTCAAACGCATCATTAAATTGTGTTTCATTATGTGGATAAAATATCAGGTTTAGAAACACAGACTGAAATAACATTTGCACAAATACCATTGTTATTTTCAGAGCAAAACCCGAACTATAGTCAAATAAGCGTCCCAACAGTTTATGATAAAGTTGATGCATCAGAAATAAATGTTGGTAAGTGTGTTTACTAGAAAAACTTGTAATTATTCATACTAAATGATTTTCCGTCTTCTCTAATTTAGTTTAACATGTTTTTAACCAAAACACAAATTTTGGTCTATATTGTTTTTTTGCAGCTTTACAGTGTGAATCTCTGAAATTAAAAGAAAAAGGAAATTATCAAAACGTCGGCCATTCAAATACTTAAAACACTGATACGTGTAATATACGTGACTATTGTATTTTACAAAAAATAAATGAAAATAGACAAAGAGAAGGAATGTCTTTTAAAGTCAAGAACTAAAGTCCCTGATACTTGCAAATATTTTCCTTTAAGTACCCTAACTTAGATATACGCAAATAAATAGATAAAACATATTAATTAAGAGGTTTTTTTTCTGGAGCCTACCCTATTGTTGTTTTATGTGAATTATAAGGGCTTGCTTCATATCTCTAATTGACCTGTGACCTTAATACTTATTTTTGTTTATTCCATAGTTGAAAGGATGTACATTCACTTACCTTAACATTAATTAATAAACAGCAAATTTGTAATTAACCTATGATTTAAGCTTTAAACGTTTTTGCTGAACGGCAGAATTATGAAGCAGGACTGGTCTTACTCTAGATTCCACTTTTGCCAACATAAAATACAAATGCAAAATTAGTAATAATATATCATTTTTAAAAATGCTGCAAACTATATACATTCACCAATTTGCTAGACAGACATTTTAATTTTTAATTTCATTAAATAAAAGCAAAGCTCAACGTTTTTGTTTAAATAAGAAATTATATAGAAGGCCTCAAAACAACATTTCTAAAAATTACAAATTTAATTATAGGGTATAATTAATTACTTTTAAAAATTGTAACAATCCTACCGAGACAATTGCATGCTCTACTTAAGTAAAATTACAAGTTTTACAACTCACACGTCAAATGTTTTTAACAACTTTTTTACTGTTCTGTCCCTTTTGACAAAGAGGCAATTGAATTGGAAAAACAAGGCGATTATTGTAACATTTTGGTTTTGCTTCATAGCTTAAATGCATAAAAAAGGCTAAAACAATCTAGGGCTAACAAAGTAGAAAATTATCTGTATTTTGTAAGTATGTCTCGATAAGAGCTTAAATCGTTGAAAAAAGTTTTTAATCTTTGAATTTAAATATCGCTGGTTTAAATTTAATAATATATTCAATTTCGCTCAATTTAAGCGATTTGTAACGATTTTGTAAACCACTGAAACTGGAGAAAGTGCGAAATATACTTTTATATTATACACCTAGTGTTGACAAAATGTTGATATTGTACTTTTTAGTAGCCAGTATCAATTTTGATTGCTTTCATAATTAAGTGAAGACACTTTATTTGGGGATTATCTACTGTTTTTTTTTTGTATCCACTGTGCACATATAATAAAAGAACTAGTAGAATTGGATGCACTATGCTCAAATATTTAATCATTACAATTTAAAACTGAGGAGAATTTAAACATCAATTTAGGATGCTGAGAAAGTTAAAATATTATTTTTCTGACTTAATTGACAACCTATTAAAATAATTCTCTATATAGCTTTACAGTTATTTGTATATCAATAAAAGAAAGCAAGGGAAGTAATAAGGATTCTTTGTTTACACAAATTATTAATTTCTTATCTCCTATGAATTATAAGTAAATTTGATATAATGCTATCATAAAACTGTTAAACATTATTAAACAAAGAGTTTAAAAAATTATACTAACAAACTATGTTTAAACTTGTATAGTCTCTCATTTATGTACGCTAGTGTTGGTTAATAATTAATGCACTCTCAATGTTCATTCTCAAAAGAACTATATATATATGTATATATATATATATATATATATATATATATATATATATATATATATAATTATATATATATATATATATATATATATATATATATATATATATATATATATATATATATATATATATATATATATATATAATATGCATAAGTGAGTGTTCGACACCATTGTCGTTAAGGGTCATGTATCCATCATCCCCACAACCCACAATTAATTTCGAACCTTAGAACTCCCCGTACCCACGTGTGTATACTTTCGAAGAACCCCCCCCCCCCCACACACACACGCCAACACACATTTAAAAAACATTTAATAGACCTAATAAACCAATATTCATGTTTACTAATCCAACTTCACTATCGTTGAAAATGTAAGTATTTCTTTGTTAAATTTAACATGTTGACATTTACATTGATCAATGGATTGACTGGCTCAAGGGATCTACCTTCAATTCACACGCATCCATAAAAGTCGATATTTTCCAGTCACGCCAACACCCCCCCCTTCCGTCTTCCGCGTAGACTTCATATATTAAGTATGTGTGGTATAGACATATAAAGTAAGTCAATTAAAAAAACAGGGTTATTGAATTGAATAACAACATGTTTTCCTTGCAATGTTTTCGTGTAATTATAATACTGTTTTGACTGTATGGACTACTTTGGTTCCATGTGCGTAATTACCACTCCATAGTCTTAGGCCTACTGTTGCCATATAAAGACTGGTTCACCATTACTTTGACATTAGTAACAGGGACTTGCCATGACCTACTTCTATTATCTTTTCATTTACGATGGTTGTCTTGTCGTACACATTGTATTTCTTCCTGTTGTTTTTAGACCAGGATCCTAGACTAGTAAAATGGGGCGTGGTTTTCTGTTGTTTTGCACTGTTTATTATCGTGGTCTCGTTCAATTGGCCATTTCGTTATCAGCAGCTGTTGCTATTTATAGGGGACCTGTTGACATTTCAGTGTGCCTTCGATCGGGTGACAGAGCTGATAACCTTGAAATGAAAAAATCCAAAGTGATCCAGAACATAAAAGAGGAAAATATGTATTTGTTTGCCAGAAGTCAAAGATAATTTTATAGTTTTTAAATCAATACATCTACGAAATGATTGTATTGGTATTTTGATAAATATTAAATCAGGCTCAGCAAAATTGTTGCTTTTCAATAAATATTTATATTTTTGTATTCTTGTGCTGCTTAGTCTTGTTTGGTTTTATAATAGTTTAAGCCAATAATGTAGAGCTTACGACTACTAGCTGGAATGTTTAGGGTTCGGATCACGGGCTGAAATCTTTAGGACGTCCCAGAGCCCTCCCTAACTCTGATGGGCACCTGACTCACGTTATGGAAACAAAGGCGGCTGGACATATGTCTAACCACACTATCCCCGTGTATGACGAGGTTTATTGAAACAGATTAACTGTATTTAATTTGCCCCATGTGTCTTGGGCACGATTGGGAAAGTTGATGATG